TATTCCTCTTATTAATGTCCTCACACAAAGTAATTAATAACTTTGATATGCGTGTTTGTATACCTGGAAAGTAGCGTTCTTTTTCCATCTTTAAGTCTGCTTATAGCATTATACCGTTATGTCATACTATGAAAGCTAAACTAAACTTATGATTCACTAGACCATCGAACCTGCCGATATCAAATTGTAAATAATCATACTTATATACATGGATGGAAAAATACACGCAAAGAACATGTTTAATACATCTAATCAGAGCATACCTAAAAGTTAGCACTTTGCAGATTTGTAAGTGATTTAAATAAAAGAAAAGAAACGCATATTATGACATTAAAACAGTTTAATTTATTTGATTTTTGCTACTCAAAAGAAAAACAAATACGAAGGCATGGTGCCTTACGTGACGATAAGGTTGTCCAAAACAATTTTAAAACATATTCCTAATTAATTAGGGTTATTCCAAACATAAACATTACTAAATAAAGACTTATATCAAACATAAACCTATACAAAACTTAGGCCTATATGAAACACAGGCTTATACCAAACAGAGGCTTACATCAAACACAGGCCTATACCAAACGAAGACCTATATCAAACACAGACCAGTATCAAACACAGTTCTACAACAAACACCTATATGGAAAACAGGCCTATACCAAACACAGGCCTATGTGAGACACATACTTATGTCAAACTCAGGCCTAAACCAGGCACAGCTTTATACTAAACTATGGCCTATGCTAAACACAGGCCTTTACCAAGCATAAGCATATACTAAACACAGACCTATACCAAAAACAGGTCTATATTAAAACAGGCATTTCTCGAATACGAGCCTATACCAAACACAGGCTTATATCAAACACGGGCACACATCAAATACAGGCCTAGACCAAACATAGGCATATGTAAAACATGACCTATACTAATCACATGTCTATACCAAACACAACCCTATACGAAACACAGGCAATTATCAAACATCATAAATCAAGCACAGTCCTATATCAAATACAGCCTTACCAAACACAGGTCTATACAACAACATCCATATTCCAAACACAGGCATATACCAAGCCTTGGCCTATACCAGAGACAAGCTTATATCAAATACGGGCCTATACTAAACACTGATGGTCTCTGAATTATAATGAGTATAAGAAAAAAAATGTACGTATAATGACCGTATAATGACATTAAACAAGAATTATGATAACAGATAAAATTTACACTACCAGTCCTTTAATGTGTAATCTGTCCTGGTGTGTTTGTAGTGGAGATTGGAATTGCAGACTGTTCACGTCCAGATGAGCGTTAAAGGTGCCGGTACGTTTCCTACAAATGTTCTAGTTTATTACTCAGTAATACGTCTTTGAAAACATGCAAAGAGTTTGAAATCAAATCTATTGCATGAAAACAAATTAGAATGCAAGATTCTGGATATCATCGTCACTTGAAACATTTAGGATGCTTTTTTTTTCTCAACCATGCGTGAATACACCTTGAAAACCTACATGTCTTGCATCGGCTATAGCATAGTCACCAACGTTTTTTGATAAGCAGCATGGTAAAGGCTGACGGAACAAAGAATTCAGGTCAAGATAAGTTTGCAAGTGGTTATAAATAAACAAACTGATGGATTTTCCTGGGACAATTTATAATTCCCGAAGATGAAACTTGTTTTCAGTCAGGAATAACGTTTGTCAGACCTCAGAAATGTATGTAAAGGCAATACTGCCATTTGAATTCCTCGAAGCATTCAAATTCGCCTTTCGCATTGAGACATTTTTAATAATACTTTTAATGAAAGAAACTAAATATAGTTTTGGGCTACTGTTTAGTTTTCATAGACATAACGAACCGTCTGCCAAGTATACGAACTTGGGCATATCTGCGAGAGCTTCAAGTATAGATTGTTGACGTCGACTATAAATGTGTCAAACTTAAGGTACAAGAAATTGGAAGCGCTATAACACCAATACTCCATTCGTTATAATGTACTCTACATATCATGCTATATAAAGGAATTAAATATTCCAGCTTTGTGATATAGAAAATAAAAAGCCTCTTTGATATAAAACTGCTTGAAATATTTGCGAAAATGCATTTTTCTTCACTGCGCAGAAATAATAACTTATTCTTATGAGTTTTTATTAATTGCGATATTAAATAAAACGTGTTTTTAGTTTTGCAAGCTCAGCTAGAATTGAATTTACTACAAGTGTGTACGCTCTTAATTTTATTTACCGGACAAATACTTGAAAATAAATGAATGGGCTAATCTTTCAATTAAATTTTTTTTCAGTTTAAAGCACAGGCATTATTCTAGTCATCCCGGCAACGGAAAGGCTCTCCTGCAACCTACATAGAGTTAAATAAAATCTATCTATGTATCTATCTATCTATCTATCTATCTATCTATCTATCTATCTATCTATCTATCTATCTATCTATCTATCTATCTATCTATCTATCTATCTATCTATCTATTATCTCTGTCGATATAAGCACACACACACAAACATATTTTTAATACATTGAGATTTGGAAAGATGAGCACATATCTTTTCAAAACTATTAAATGCTGTTTTCTTTTTTTTCTTATTAAAAAACTAACATCCATAATTTTAATTATTACTTAAGTGCTTCAGTTTGACGTGACAAACAGAACATTTGCAAGTGATTCCGTGTTGCGTGACAAACGGCTGAAATGCGTTCGTACGACATCCAAACATCACATCAAAGAACTGATATAGTTAAGATGACGTAATGCAAAGTTTATTTTGTGAAAAACAATTACTAGCATGCACGTATTTGCGTTGACACAATAGGATTGTACTGATACATTTAATTGGCACTGTTGCAGAACATAACTGTTTCAGATTTAAATTGTTTTGTAAAATATGAAACTCAGTACTTGCTAGGCTTTTTTTTATAGAATTCTTTCTCAACCTTTTATGCGTCCATCATACCTTAGTGGTGAATCTCTCAACATAGTCCACTTTCATAATTACTCATTAGAAAATAATGATGACCTATATTTTTAAGGTAATAAGAAATGAAGAAGCTGATATGGCTTTTTAAAAGTAAAACGAAATACGTTGCTATTGATGGTAACTAGATGTAGACAAGTAAATTCAGACTTTTTATTTATAGTGAAGTACAAGTAATTGTACATTTTGGCGCCAAGGGTTCTGATTTTTTTTTAATAGGGAAATTATATGCAAAATTAAACTGTTTTAAAAGATGAATACAATTTAAGGTTACAGTATATTTTTTTTATAAACTGTAACATTTGAAAAGTTTCAATATTTTTTTGAAAACACAAACAATTTCATATTATTTAATTTTCCAGGGATGACACTGAATTAATAATAAGCACTGGTTTATTACATAATCTTAGTGTGGTTCCTTGTCTAGGAAATCTTAATATTGTATAATTAAAACTTATTTGCTCAAAATAAAGTACAGACCCTACCCCATAATCAATAGAAATCCCTTGTTGATAGTAAATGATACAGTGTAATCCCTTTTTTCAATGTGAATCTGTTCGCATAACTCAACAGTTTTCTGTAGATTTCATACATCTATTTATTTGAAAATCAGATCTTTTTTCCTGAGATGATTTGTATCAAACATACATTCCCATGATTCAAACATAATTCTTAGACAAAAGATCATTAAGCAAACTTGAATTATTCAAACATAAAATTTATATGATGATCAAATAAGAGAAATGAAAGTCGGCTATATCAGGAATTCAGTTTGTACCATCAATTATGTTGTACAGGTAGACCAAGAGTTGTGGTGTGAATTACGGACAAAAGTAAAATATAATTACGAAGAAAAGAGTAAAATTTCAGTGGACAAAAAAAAACACAACAAATATCCAATTAGTGCTCATACAACAAAACTACCATAGGAAACGTCTATAAATCGATACCACAGGAAACGTCTCTAAATCGATACCACAGGAGATGTCTTTCAAATGAGACTGGAAATTGCGGAAGAGAAGACAGGGTTATAATCACACACACACACACACACACACACACACACACACACACACACATACACACACACATCGCCATTGATTCATTGCTTAAATTATACGCTGCATAATTGTGAGAATATAATAACTTAATCCTAACAACATACGACATAGGCCAACATGGATTTGACGGCACATAGATGATGCCTACGAACATAAATATTTATGTAAGGAAAATATAGAATGGCCCAGAAATAAAGAGGCAGCTTTGGTACAGCAACATTTACACCTGATTCAAGTCGTAATATCTAGATAAAGTTGTTGATACTTTTACAATGTTACGTAAATAATACGAGTTCGAGATATAAGGGTGCTCTTTTTTCATACAGGTACACGCACATGTGTGTGTATGTGTGTGTGTGTGTGTGTGTGAATATGAGTAAGTAATGTAAGCAATTCAAAGATATAGTACCAAATGTTCTGATTAGTTTTTAATTAAATATCTTTGAAATTTGTCATGATTTTAAAAGTATATGAATATCAAAATAGCATACAACAGTAAAATACTATGTCATCTGTCAATGTAGTATTCAAGTCAAGCGAGATTTTCGTAATTTTGATTATTGTGTTATCTATGTGTGCCATAATATACATGAAATGGCTTGTACAAAGAGACAATACTATGTCAGCAAGTTAGAGAAATTACAAGGCATGTTTTTTGTGGGATGGGTTTGTGGGTGTTTGCGTTGTTTGTGTTTTTTAAACAAACAGTAAAATTTGGTCAATTTAATATGAACGAGCTTCAAAATGACCGGGGTTTTTTTCGAGGCGAAATATCACATTATTCCAATAGAATAAGTTGTTTGGTGTATGTTTAAATCTATATTTTCTGTCACATTTTTGAAATCTCATGTCAGTTGTTATGCGTACAAAAACTGGAAAGAAATGACAGAATTAGCTCTTAATATAGAGCTCTTAATAGCATCCAAATTATTACCCATGTGACAGCTCCGGTGGCTTATACTGGTTAGAGCATCCACCTAGGATGCGGGAGGTTATGGGTTCGATTCCCGGTCGAGTAATACCAAAGACTTACAAAACTGGCACTAACAACTGTCTCGCTTGATTGAATACTACATTAAGAAGTTAGTGTTACGACTAGTTGGCCTGTTGTCAGGATAATGTGACTGGGTGGGACATCATGCTTCGTATCTACGGCATGATACCCCAGTGATAGATATCATTATAAACTGGCACACTGCGACATCGTAGCGATATGACTGAAAATTTGTTAATTGCACGTTTTAAAAAAATCGAAATCCATTCCCCAGGAGCTAATTCCCTGGGATAGTGATGGATTTAAGGCTTATATATATATATATATATATATATATATATATATATATATATATATATATATATATATATATATATATATATATATATATATATATATATATATATATATATATATATATATATAGAGAGAGAGAGAGAGAGAGAGAGAGAGAGAGAGAAAGAGAGAGAGAATTGTAATATACAAGAAAAAGAAAAGAAAGTGCTATCTTTGCATTATGTATGAGAATACTTGATAATAGAAGGCAGAATTAACAGAATTAATATTTAATGAAATAATACTATCATACATGTTAAAGAAATTTTAAATCTTTAAGGAAAATCGAATACAGGTGCAGGTAAATAACACCTGCACACCAACCCATATTCCATCATGACTAAACACACATGGCCAAAAAAGAAAAAAAATGATGCTACGTAATCGGTGTTATATGCATAGGAATCCAGAATGCCTTTTTAGATAGATGAGAATTAAATATTGGGTTGTCTTGCTAGTGTCTGCTACACATGGCATCATCATTTTCTGGTGATGTGTACTTAGTCCTAATGGAATATAGGCTGGTGTGTGCAGGCAAGGCGATGGAATTTGAAAATTCTCTAACCTGTATCAGAGTATCATATGTGTTAAATGTAAAATTATCCTTATCTCTTAACCACAACCAAAGGTGTAGACACAATCTATTGTTATCATTGATCCAACTTTCATGTGTCCAGCTTTTGAAGTGTGGAAGGAGTTTAAGGATATTAATAGCGTATATATTGCTGCAAATTTACCTACATAATTTCCAGCACAGGTAATTGTTTACATACATACATACATAATACATACATACATAATACATACATACATACATACATACATACATACATACATACATACATACATACATACATACATACATACATACATACATACATACATACATACATACATACATAGCTTTGAGAATGACTCATGATCTGGTGGGTTGGGCAGCTGTCCAATGCGGGGTTCCGGATTCTTGTTAATTATCAAGCAGTTAGGATATACGGCCTGTCTTTGTTAACACGGCCTCAATGTCAGTGAGCAATGGGATTTGAAAATAATGGATGCCAGAACGTTTATATAACTTAATTGCAGGAAAACTAAAGTATTCAGAAAGGCTTGCAGCCCTTGGCAAAGGTGGTCGTTTGCTTTAAGTTGTGCCAAGTTTAAGACTGTTTTACAAACTTAATATAATTGCATGTTGAATGTGTATTGAAATATTTTTGTTAAATAGATCATAATAAACACTTCGATGCTTTAAGCGTGAGTGTTAAATTTGAAAGATGTTTTAATGAGTTGGTGTGACGGTTCGAAGGATGGGAGATACAACTATTTTAGAATATACAAGTTTGATACCATCACTGATAAACAGATATGAAAAAAAAATATGCAGAAACACTTGAATATTTTCAATGAGTCTGTTAAAATATCACATTACAAACACGTTCATAAATTGTAAAGATCACTGTAGGTATAATGCCTAAAGGAGATTTGTTTGTAAAATAATTGGAAAAAGCTATTACAACATTGTAAATCTCTGTATGACTTTAAAAGTGTTTTGTATCGCAGACATGAATCTGCAGTGTATATTCACGACATACGAATCTCTTGTATGCTAATACGATGGACTAGTGGATTGATATAATACCTGCAATCTGCAATCATGCCGTAGGAATGATCTTAATTCTGTGTTATTATATATTACTTGTAATCTGCAATCATGCCATAGGAATGATTATAATTCTGTATTAGTATATATTACTTGTAATCTGCAATCATGCTATAGAAATGATTATAATTCTGTGTTAGTATATATTACTTGTAATCTGCAATCATGCCGTAGGAATGATTATAATTCTGTGTTAGTATATATTACTTGTAATCTATAATCATGCATAGGAATGATTATAATTCTGTGTTAGTATATATTACTTGTAATCTGCAATCATGCCGTAGGAATGATTTTAATTCTGTATTAGTATATATTACTTGTAATCTATAATCATGCATAGGAATGATTATAATTCTGTGTTAGTATATATTACTTGTAATCTGCAATCATGCCGTAGGAATGATTTTAATTCTGTATTAGTATATATTACTTGTAATCTATAATCATGCATAGGAATGATTATAATTCTGTGTTAGTATATATTACTTGTAATCTGCAATCATGCCGTAGGAATGATTTTAATTCTGTATTAGTATATATTACTTGTAATCTATAATCATGCATAGGAATGATTATAATTCTGTGTTAGTATATATTACTTGTAATCTGCAATCATGCCGTAGGAATGATTTTAATTCTGTATTAGTATATATTACTTGTAATCTATAATCATGCATAGGAATGATTATAATTCTGTGTTAGTATATATTACTTGTAATCTGCAATCATGCAATAGTTATGTGTTAATGTATAATGCCTGTAATCTGCAATCATGCATAGGAATGATTATAATTCTGTGTTAGTATATATTACTTGCAATCTGCAATCATGCAATAGTTATGTGTTAATGTATAATGCCTGTAATCTGCAATCATGCCATAGGAATGATTATAATTCTGTATTAGTATATATTACTTGTAATCTGCAATCATGCCATAGGAATGATTATAATTCTGTATTAGTATATATTACTTGTAATCTGCAATCATGCCATAGGAATGATTATAATTCTGTATTAGTATATATTACTTGTAATCTGCAATCATGCCATAGGAATGATTATAATTCTGTATTAGTATATATTACTTGTAATCTGCAATCATGCCATAGGAATGATTATAAGTCTGTGTTATTATATATTACTTGTAATCTGCAATCATGCCATAGGAATGATTATAAGTCTGTATTAGTATATATTACTTGTAATCTGCAATCATGCATAGAAATAATCTTAATTCTGTATAAGTATATAATGCCTGTAATTTATAATCATGCCAAGGAATGATTATAATTCTGTATTAGTATATATTACTTGTAATCTATAATCATGCATAGGAATGATCTTAATTCTGTTAGTGTATAATAACTGTAATCTATAATCATGCAATAGGAATCATCTTAATTATGTATTAGTATATATTACTTGTAATCTGAAATCACTCCACAGAAGTAATCTGAATTATATTTTAATACAGTGGTTCTCTAATGACTAGATGCTATGCCTGCAATCACGCCATTTGTAATGTGATCTGAAGATACACTATTATTTATAATAGGCGTTGAGTAAAATTGTAAAACTCGTGAATGAATATTAAAACCGAAACAAATGTATAAACCACGGCGTTCACAACGAAGTTGAACACCATAAAAACTCACTAAATTTATGTTCCTTGTAACGGAATAAAATATTTAAAGAAAAAAGTCACAATGACGTAGCAAACACGTGTAGATGTCGTTCACAAAACTATAGTCTGAATTACGAATATCCTTACTAAAGACTAATGAATTACGGATATCCTTACTACAGACTAATCTGAATTGCTAATATACATATTGCAGACTAATCCAAATTGCAAATATCCTTACTACAGACTAATCTAATTACGAATATCCATACTACATATTAATCTGACTTACGAATATCCTTACTTCAGACTAATGAATTACGAATATCCTTACTACAGACTTATCTGAATTCAAATATAAATATTACAGACTAATATGAATTACGAATATCCTTACTGCAGGCTAATCTGAATTACGAATATCTTTACTACAAGCTAATCTGAATTGCAAATATACATATTACAGACTAATTTGAATTACGAATATCCTTTCTACAGACTAATCTGAATTACGAATATTCATGGTACAGACTAATCTGAATAACGAATATCCTTACAACAGGCTAATCTGAATTACGAATATCTTTACTACAAGCTAATCTGAATTGAAAATATACATATTACAGACTAATCTGAATTAAAAATATTCTTGCTACAGACTAATCTGAATTACGAATATTCATGGTACAGACTAATCTGAATAACGAATATCCTTACAACAGGCAAATCTGAATTACGAATATCTTTACTACAGGCTAATCTGAATTGCAAATATACATATTACAGACTAATCTGAATTAAAAATATCCTTGCTACAGACTAATCTGAATTACGAATATTCATGGTACAGACTAATCTGAATAACGAATATCCTTACAACAGGCAAATCTGAATTACGAATATCTTTACTACAGGCTAATCTGAATTGCAAATATACATATTACAGACTAATCTGAATTAAAAATATCCTTGCTACAGACTAATCTGAATTACGAATATTCATGGTACAGACTAATCTGAAGTACGAATATCCTTACTATAGGCTAATCTGAACTGCATATATATATATATATATATATATATATATATATATATATATATATATATATATATATATATATATATATTACAGAATAATCTGAATTACGAATATCCTTGCTACAGACTAATCTGAATTACGATTATCCTTGCTACAGACTAATCTGAATTACGAATATCCATACTACAGAATAATCTGAAGTAAAAATATCCTTGCTACAGACTGCTCTGAATTACGAATATCCTAACTACAGACTAATCTGAATTGCAAATATGCATATTACAGACCTGGGGGCCCCGAGTGTCCGAGTGTTCTAAAGCGCTGCCCGAAACCGATCAGTGCCATTCTCACCTCTGTCTGCGTGG